ATGACATTTTCTGGATTAATGTATTCATTCTGTCAAATTATTAGTCAGGAAATAATGTATCATCAATGAAAATGAGAAGGCATAACTCACTCACTAATTACCCCATTCTCGTTTATATGGAAAAAAAAAAATTTAAGGGGCCTTATAAATTATATTCTTCGTTTTAATTAGCCAAATTAATCAGATAACACGCTGTTTTTCTTTTCCCTATATACACAAACAGAGAACCAGTCAATTTCAAATAAAATCTCAAAAAGAATTTCAGTTATCTGAAGGAGTCGGAGTTTTTCGTTCAGGAGATTCAGTTCCTCACACACAGCAACGCCCGAAGCCTTTCGGTAACCTTCTTTGACTTTTTGCTAATTATTATATTGTTTAGTTTTTGTTTTTCAGTGGTTTTGGGATCTGCGATGTTTATTTATCAACTAAGTTACGTTTGCACATAATCACAAAAATCTATCATTTCCACCACCATTTAAAGTGATTATAATCTATCAATTGGGGTTGGCATAAGTGATAAGTAGCTTGATGCCGCTTAAGCAAGGTTTCGGGTTCGAAACCTTGTGAATGTAAAAAACTCTTGTTGGGAGACTCACCTACCACAATTAGGTATGCGACCCAGGTCGACCAACGGATTAGTCGGGGCAAAACTCCGGAAATCGTGGCAGGCAACAAAAAAAAAAAGTGATTATAATCTGCTGATGCTAAATGTATGTTTTGTCACTCAAACGAAAACCAGGTCAACCATTTTCTTTTTGGGTTATTCTCATGCCTGACAAAGTACGAGAATTTGATCAGGATTCAACGATTAGACTTTTTTTGTTAATCACAAAATACTCACTCTTACAGACCAGTACCTGGAAAAACGGAAGACTCAGACATTTTTAGTGTTGTTACCCTAGGAAACAATGCTTTGTTCCAAAAGGATGAAAGGAATCTGTTAAGGTGAATGTATCGCAATTTGCAAAGGATATTTAACCCGATTAGTTTTCTACATATCCTAAAACCAAATTCGTATTCATTCAGATTATTCTGAATGTGGGTGATATAACTAATTAGTACACGTATGAACCCTATCTGGCTAATATTTGACCAGTGCGCTTACTTACTCTTTTTCAAATGCTTTTCTTACTAGCTAGGTTGTCTTCCAAATTAAATTCCATATGCATATTAATTACTGAAACGTGACAATGTCATTACTACGTACCACAAGTGATATTCGTCCAAATATTTCAAATTACGATCAGCAGACTAAATCTGTACTGAATTTTAATTTGATACAACCTTTGAATAGTAAGTTTCGATATGCAAAATGGACAGCTGAGAAATGGAAATAAATAGGAAAACTTCCCATTCAAGGTGTCTTATGATTCAAAATGATAAGAAAACGGGGTGAACCTTTCACTAGTAATCCTTTTAAGGGCGAAACTGATATTTAAAATTTTTAAGTCATTTTCTTTTTTATGGTATTACCCTTTACTTAGTGTTGTTACTTAACCACATTGTTATATGGTGAACCAAAAAAAAAAAAAAAACATCCGAATGAATTACTACTTCCCCATATCCAAGATTTGAGCATCACAAAACATGATGATTGGATGGGTAAAACTAACTGAAAATTTTGAATTGGGGATCTTGATTCTTTCTTCCCCAGTGAACGATTCGTAGAAGAAGAGACAGAACGTTCGAACGATCACAAAAAAAAAAAAAAAAAGAATGAAAATACACAACTTGGGTTGCTTACTAATTGATAGGACCTTTTAAAAGAGACATAATAAGGGGCCAAAATATATATTTATAATTTTGTTTTATTTGCATCACATTATATTTTCAAGTGAGTGTACGTTATGAAACTCACCGTGGATAACGTGACAATAACAAAACAACGGAATTTAATTTACACACATTTACACCCTCAGTTGACCAAAGGCCACAGCAGCAGATAGATTATTACATAAGCATGAGATTACGGCAATCTAGGTTTTTTAGCTAATTTTACTTTGTTGGGAAGGTTCATTTCTGCCTTCACTTTATTACCATTTTAAAAATTTTCTAACCAAATTATAACAATCCTACAGTTTTCTTTCCAGTCACTCTAGTAATACAGAAAAACCTTAAAATCCTCAGTAGTTTTTTCATCAGCTGTGAATTTATATAACGACTCGAAATTCGCCGGATTTGAGTTCTTGAGCAGATTGACGTCTTCCAGGTCCAAAACCTTTGGTAAAATTCTATGCACTTTTTTGTTGGCCTGGAATAACTAATTCTGTTAATTTAATTTAAACTTGTTTTTTTTTGGGTGTTTGTGTATTATGTTTGTTTATTACTTCACTGTTTAATTCATAGAGCTTTTGTTTTTGTGATCTCATTTTCGTTCCCTTTCATGTGTCCTCCTTGAAACCTGTAAGTCTTCATTTAGAGAGTCCTAAATCAAATCCAGAACTTGAAATTCTCTCAGGGCTAATTTAATTCGGCACCTTATAGGCCCTTGTCGATGTTCTTAAGGATTCATTAATTCTTATGAAAAAGCTCTGACTTGCTTGACAGATTGTTTGATTGTTATATAAAGCATAATTAACCTGAACATTTTGCCGTTAAAATGTTGAATCATATGGTTTCTGTACTGTGATTTTTTTTCCCCTTTTTGTTTGATTTGTATCTTTCGGAGATTTTATAACACATTTGAAGGGTTTTGACTAATATCTGTGTTTACAAAACCAAGGGATTTTCCTTCTTTTACTTCCCAAAATTTTGTGTACACTTTGTAGTCAAGGGTCATGTTTCTTCAGCATTTTATTTGTGAATTGATGTGATTAGATAGGGTTTAGACACATGGTTTCTCACCATTTAACTGTAGATCTGTTTTTTTTTTAATCCCATTTTTGCAAACTTTTGTAAGTAATTCTCTCAGATTTGATTTCAATTATCATTGATTCTTTTATACTTTTCACTTAAATCATCCTATTCATGAACTTCAATTAATAATACTTGCTGTTGTTTGTGTGATTGAATTTCGGTTCGAGACAATTTATACCGTGAAACTTGTGCACCATCTCTAGTGCACGTCTTATTAATATATACAATCTAATTAAAATGGTCTTATAAATTACTAAATTCTGTCAGCATTTAATTTCTTATATTATTTTTTTGAATCGAAGTAAATTACATTTCAGTAATTTCTATGTATTCATAGTTTAAGTTAGAATTTGAGAAAAACTTAAGTTTATTAAATCTCATGAAATTTTGATATATATATATATATATATATGTCATGAAAAATATGGTATGACATTCATTAGTGAATTTTTCTTTGGGATGAGTCTAAATCTTTGAGTTTGTAAATAACATTAATTAATATTTTCCTTTTTCTATGAATATTTTGCATAATTCTCATGAAAATGGTAGTACGGTGTTACTCCTTCCATTCTAAAATATATCTCTTTCTAAGAATAACATCAATACCAATAAAATATTAAATTATGTGTTTAAAATACAAAAATACCCTTATTTATTATCTATACAACTCATCCCTAATTAATATAAATTTTTTTAGATACCATTTTCATTTCCAATATAAGGTTAATATTGACAAAATAGGATAAAAGTTGCCTCGACTTTGAAAAACAACATATATTTTAAAAAATCGTGAAAACCCTAAAACGACATATATTAAAAGCATGGGTGTGTTTTGGAAGATAATACCTCAACAAAAAAATGTGAGATGCTGGCATTCTTTCGGTTTGCACGTGATTTGCACGCACTTTTTATTTGTGATTGATTTTAAAATTAGGATACACTTTCTATGAGATTAGGATACACTTTTTATTTGGGATTAATGTTACGTTTTTAATTAAATAGACATGAAATGTCCGAATGAAGTGTTTACTTTTTGTTAAAGTGAAAAGGTGATGTAAGTCTCTTCATGTCGATGTTTTTAAGGTTTCATCGATCTTTCGGAAAAAGCACTGACAATGTTTAACAGACTGCTTGATTTGGTTTTATAAGCATAAATCTTAACATTTGGGAAGTGGAGAGGTTGAATGATATGGTTCCTACATGCTTTTTTTTTTTTTGCTTGACTAAGATAGGTGTATTGGGGTTGTACCCTTAGGAGATTTTGAAACACATTTCAAGGGTTTTGAGTACTACAGTAATAACTATGTTAAAAAGAATTAGGGGATTTTCCTTCTTTTTTCCCCCTAAATTTTGTTGCACTTTTTGCATATGGTTTGTCACCAATTGCACAAGAATTACATCCGTTATTATTCTTTCAACCAAAATAAATTTTTGATAACTCTAGATCTGTTCCCTTTTTGCAAACAATATGATTAATTTCGTCTAAGCTTTGATTTCAATTATCGTTAACATATATATATATATATATATTTCGGCTACAAATTTCTTACATCACAATCCTACAACATTTCTTACATCACCTTTACAAAATTTATTACTTTTGTCTATTTAATATTACTTTTATTTTTCAAAATTTTTACTAACACTCTAACCCACCATTTGATCGTCAAGGTCATATGTCAAAATGTTGGTGAATGATGTAGGAAATGGTGCGTGATTATGGTATAGGAAATTTTTTACTATATATTCCTCACTTAAATCAGTGTATTCATGAATACTTCAATCAAGACACAATTCTATAGATTCATTGTAAAAATTAATAGCACTTTATTATTTTATGTGATTGGATTTTTTCCTGTTATTGTATCATTTTTAAATTAATTAATTTCCACCATTTTTATTTTTACAGAAGAAACTATGAGCTTCCAGGGACACAACAACAGGAGGTCGCCATTGGCAAATGATGAAGCTGGAAGCAGCAGCGGCACAAGAGGCCCAATCTCGATCAATCCGCGGGCAGCTACTACTTCATCACCTAAATCGTCCCAGAGCTGCCTGCCCAGAATGTGCACGGAGTCCAAAACAGTGCAGGCCACGGGCAGCAGGAGAGCAGCAGCAGCCAGCAAAGTGGAAATACTGGAGGAATGAGGGAGGAGGAGAATATCATTATAACCCCTCGGCCAGGATTGCCATCTTTGGATGTGGTTAGGGCAGCGCTTCAAAATGCGCCGGTCCCAACCACTCCTGATGATGATGCCACCGCTTTGGCCGAGGCTGATTCCTTCTTCCGGCAATACTTGTTGTCTTCATCTTCATCATCGTCATCTGACGAGGAGGACGAAGAGAATAAGGCGGTTCGGCGTGCAGATATCCGCCGCCAAGTTGTGGCAGTGTATCAAGCCATGTTTCACTCATCGGCGCTACCACTTCCTGATACGGTTTGTCTCTCCCATTTCTCACCTGTCTTTAACCAATTTATTTTCTCCATTTCATTATTACTCCCTTCATTGTTCTTTATATGTCTAGTGGATTTTTTTAAAAAAAATATATGTTACTTTCACAAATGAAGACACACTTGGCAACTTTTTATCAAAATTACTCTAGCATTGAAAAATGAAACAGTATGCATAATGAAATTTTATTAGTTTATATTGTGATGAGTTATATGGATAATAAATAAGAATATTTTTGTATTTTAAATACGTTAATTAATATCTTCTTAATTTTTATGAAATCAATAGAAAGAATATATATATATAAAAAAAATGAAGAGAATATTTTATTTTTATTATTATTTTATAGATCTTATTCATCTTACTTTTTTTTTCCCTTCTTTTACTACTATTTAGGTCCTGCAACGAGAGAATCCCATCACTGACTCTGCACAAACGAGCTCCTCTGTTCGAGCTAAGGTAACCTTTTATATATTTATTTCATTTTATTATTATTACATAATAATTCTTCCACAAAACTTGCACAAACAATGCACAGCTGCGCGCCCAGACCAAAAAAATTTAAATAAAATGAAGTTCATGTTAGTTTGAAACTTTTTTTTTTGTTAGAGAATGGATACTAGTATATGTTTTCGTTAACGCACATTTTCATGATTTCCAATCCAATTTACAAAATTGAATATTTGCACATAATTTCATTTTTGTGCTATTATTTTTAGGTACCCCGGCAGCTTACAGGACAGATGATATCAGATCGAACAATGAGGTTGCTGAGCGATCGCAGGTATCAACCAAGAGAATATCATTTGTGTCCTCTTTGCTTGGTAAGAACCAGAAAAACAAAATCATTAACACTTTTTCGTCCCATTTTATTGAAAAATATATAGTAATTCTCTGTAACAAATTTATAATTTATAAAACTAATCAATGTTTATATTTAATTTTCTTGTTTTGCAGAATGGATTGGTAACCGGGGAGTTCCCCGTCAAACTTGACTGTGGTCATGGCTGCCATATGGGCTGCATCAAGCGCTGGCTAGATGTTAAGAACATCTGCCCCTCCTGTGGTGCAGTTGCCCTCACTCTTCTTTGAGTGATTTGATTGTTTTTTTCTCATCCAATTACTTGTGGTCATGTTTTTTTTTTTTTTTTTTTTTTGCAATATTGTTGACATTAAAGTTGTTTTATTAGGGATTTTGTACTTAAGTTAGTTTCATGTATCATTTGGAGAATTAATATTGAATTGCTCTAGTTATATATGTACTTTTTGAGATCATTTGGATTCTTAATTTCATGTATTTATTTTTCCATTCAGTTTTTTGATTTATCAAGTGAAGTGTGCTTATCTATAATGTGTTTCTCAAATTCCACATTTGCACTTTATTAGCACCGCAATTGCACGAGCCACTCAGTTGACCAGAAAACCTCAGTAATAGATTCAGTACATTTAGAATGATATAATTGTAACATTGGATTTATTTTTTATCTTTTTTTTTGGGTAGGTTATAGCTTTACAAAATTAGGACGCAATTATTATGATTTATTTGACATGTTTCATTTGGGGGACCTCAAAATTTTCCTTCTTTTTTTTCATTGGAATAGTTAGAGTTATTCACTTTCATATATCATTTGTTGGATTTTTTAGCTAATTAAATTTTTTTTCTCTTCCTCTTAAGTTAAACTTAAATTAATGAGGCAACTGAGATAATCTAATGTTTAATGTGTGCTTATATAATACATATATTCAAATTGTGTTGATTGCACTTTGCTAGCACTGTTATCGCACACATTTGCCTAATAATTCGATTTTCAAGAAAAACTCCTTTCCTACTACCAATAAAATAGGACAACCAAACAAGTAAAATGATTCAAGAACTGATAAAATAAAGGAGGTACACGAATTTACGTAGAAACCCAAATCGGGAAAAAACCACGGACTGTAACAACAGTCAAATCTCCACTATCACAATAATGAAAAACAATCTTCACCAACCGGCGGATACACAGGACTTTACCCAAAGGTGGATTACAACAATACTCTTCCACACACACCTATCAAAAAGTAGGACTGGAAGGATCTCACAAAAAAGAGTTAAACTGAAAACTAAACCCTAACTTTCTTTCTTTTTCTCTCACACAAAACCCTTGCGCGGCTGAATTTTTCCTCACACAAAACAACGTGTGCCTGCTCCTTTTCTTTTTGCCAAACTCACGCACAAGTCATGGCCAAGAAAGCTAAAGAACCAAGGCTTTTATAAGCCACGGTCAAGACCAAACCAAACCCAAAAAGGGTTTGTTTCCCTCGGTCAAAATAAACCAAATCCAAGTTGGATTTTGGTTTCATTATCCTGGGCCCAATTATGGGGAATAATAGTTAGCCCAACAATCTCCCCCTTCACCTCAATTGGGGGTAAAACCACACCAGCTTCATGTCTACAAAACAGGAGTTTGTCTCTACTCACAGTCTTCATCAACATATCGGCACCGTTGTCATCCGTATGGATCTTCTCAAGGAACAACGCATTGGACTTCAACACATCCCGAATCTAATGATATCTCACATTAATATATTTTGACCGCGAATGGAATGTGGAATTTTTCACCAAGTGAATAGCGCTCTGGCTATCACAATACACCACATACCTCTCTTGCTTCATGCCAAGCTCTTGTAGAAACTTCTGCAACCAAAGTGCTTCCTTACAAGATTCAGTAGCTGCGATAAACTCTGCCTCTGTAGTAGATAAAGCAACACACTTCAGCAACCTAATCTGCCCATGAAACTGCTCCTCCTCCATATGTCATCAATTATCCAGAAGTAAATTTCCGACCATCAAGGTCACCCACCATGTTAGTATATGTATATCCATCCAACATGGTCTTCCCATTGCCAAAGCAAAGACTCGATCTAGAAGTACCCCTAAGATACTTGAGAATCCATTTCACAGCATTTCAATGCTCCTTATTAGGATTAGAGAGAAACCGACTAACAACACCAACTGCATGAGCTATGTCTGGCTTTGTGCAAACCATCGCATACATCAGGCTGCCAACTGCCGAAGCATAAGGAACCTTTTTCATCTCTTCTTTATCTTTCTCACTTTTAGGACACTGCATTTTGCTTAGCTTAAAATGCCCCGCAAGTAGAGTCGAGACTTCCTTAGCACCGCTCGTGTTAAACCTATCAAGAACCTTCTCGATATACTTCTCTTGAGATACCCAAAGCTTCTCATTCCGTCTGTCACGAGAAATCTTCATCGCAAGGATCCGTCTAGCCGGACCCAAATCCTTCATCACAAAGGACTTATTCAACTCTTTTTTCAACCTGGCAATCTTTGCAGTATCATGAGCAACAATCAACATGCCATCGACATAAAGCAAAAGAATTATAAAATCACCATCAGAGAATTTCTTCACAAACACACAGTGATCGGCTGTAGTCCTTTGGTATCCCTGCCCTATCACGAAAGCATCAAACTTCTTGTACCACTGCCTCGGAGCTTGCTTCAACCCATACAAGCTTTTGTTGAGACGACATACAAGCTTTTCTTTCCCCTTCTCCTGGAACCCATCTGGTTGCTCCATGTAAATCTCTTCTTCCAAATCATCATGCAAGAAGGTTGTTTTCACATCAAGCTGTTCAATCTCAAGATTCAAACTGGCCGCTATCCCAAGCACAACTTGGATCGAAGACATCTTTACAACATGAGAGAATATCTCATCAAAGTCTACGCCCTTTCTCTGATTGAATCCCTTCACAACTAATCTAGCTTTGTACCTCGGTTGTGAGCTGTTCCCACTTGTCTTTAATCTGAACACCGATTTATTCTTGAGTGCTCTCTTGCCCTTAGGCAGCTTCACCAGGTCATACGTGTTATTCTCATGCAAGGATATGATCTCATCTTGCTTGGCTGCTAACCACTGATCTTTCTGCTCATGACTAAAAACCTCTTCATACGACTCTGGTTCTCCCCTATCAGTAAGCAATAAATACTCATGAACATTGTACCTGGTGGAAGGTGTCTTGTCTCTGGTGGACCTCCTAGGCTGAACAGGAGGTGATGAAACCAGTGGTGTCTCTATTTCAGAAGTAGAATCATCATTAAACTCACCATTCTGCTCTGTCTCAACTCCCCCTTTAGGAGAATCATCTGATTGTGGAGGAACTAGATCTAGATCAACAGGAATCTTAGGTGAAGATTCTGGCATCTCTCTCTTTCCCATATCATCAATGGTCTGGTCTTCAAAGAAGATCACATCTCTGCTTCTGAAAACTTTCTTCTTTACAGGATCCCAAAGTCTGTACCCAAAATCATCATTGCCATACTCCAAGAATATACACTTCTTGGATTTTCCATCAAGCTTCGACCTTTCGTCTTTGGGATTATGAACAAAGGCACGATAACCAAAAACTCGCAAATGTCCGAATGAGACATCTTTCCCTGTCCAAACTCGTTGTGGTAGATCACCATCCAACGGAACTGAGGGAGATAGGTTGATCAAATCAACTGCTATCTGCATGGCTTCACCCCAAAAAGATTTAGGCAACTTTGCATTCAAGAGCATACATCTAACCTTTTCGGTAATAGTTCTATTCATTCTTTCTGCCACACCATTCTGTTGCGGAGTCTTTGGAACACTCTTCTGAAGTTTAATGCCATAGTCTCGGCAATACTTCTCATCAATGAAAGTAACAAAGTACAATACTCCACTTTTCGAGCTATCTTTCATGTAACATACATGAAAGATAGTCATCAATGAAACCTTTCGAGCATAGTCATCAATGAAAGTAACAAAGTACAATACTCCACCCAACGACCTATCTTTCATGTAACATACATCTGTATGAACTAACTCTAGAGGACTGGTTTTCTAGATCGAGGAGAATTTTGAAAGGAAACCCTATGTTGTTTACCATAGATACAGTCAACACAAGGTTCTAGAGCAGTACCTTTCACCTCAGGGAGAAATTGTTTCTTACCAAGAATCTGGAGCCCCTTGACACTAATGTGTCCAAGCCTTCTATTTAGAGATCAATGGAGGCATTGTGAGTTGCATTCACCTCTCCATTCTTCAACTTTGCATTCAACACATACAAAGAGTTCAACTTCTTTCCTCTAGCAATAACAAGATTCCCTCCGGTAATTGTCCAACGGCCACCACCTTCAGTGCTATGATAATCCTCATCATCAATTTTTCCAACAGAAATAAGGTTCAGACGCATATCCGGAACATGTCTGACATTCTTCAAGACAAGAGTACAACCTGTATTCGTTACCAATGATAATTAGATGAAGTCAATTTAATCATAGTACCAGTACCGGATGACTCTTCCATTTTATTGGTGTAACACCTCAACTACCGAACCGTAGCTCTGATGCCGCTGTTGTGGCGTAAAAGGCATAAACACAACACACTACGGAAAACCCCAAGAAAAACTCCTTTCCTACTACTAATAAAATAGGACAACCAACCAAACAAGTAAATAATTCAAGAACTGATAAAGTAAAGTAGATACGCGAATTTACGTGGAAAACCTAAATTGGAAAAAATCACAGGACTGTAACAATAGTCAAATCTCCACTATCACAATAATAGAAAACAGTTTTCACCAACTGGTGGATACACAGGACTTCACCGAAAGGTGGATTACAACAATACTCTTCCACACACACCTAAACCACAAAGTGGGATTGGAAGAATCTCACCAAAAGAAAGTTAAACCGAAAACTAAACCCTAACTTTCTTTCTTTTTCTCTCACACAAAACCCTTGCGCGACTGCCCTAATTCTCCTTCTCTCTCGGCTGAAAAACAAGCGTCCAAAAGCACACCAAGAAAGCCAAAGGACCAAGGCTTTTATAAGCCACGGCCTTACACCAAAACCAAACCAAAAATGGACTTGGTTTTCTTTCTTTCCTTCGGTCAAGCCTAAAACCAAATCCACATTAGATTTTGACTTCAAACCTTGCTAGGCCACCAATTGGGGGGAATAGGCCCAACAATCATTAACTCTATAACCAAACTTCATGATTGTAACTGCATATGGCATTCACTAACCTGCATTTTCATTCCATCTTCAGCCACCCATAAGTAGTCTGAAATTCTAGCAAGATGTTTCTTAAAACAATCCCCGTTTGGGTCCTCAACCCAACAAGCAAGCATACATAAAACCTAGCACAGCTACAGAAAACTTCAGTAGCACATATGGAAATCGTTAGCAGAAATCTCACTAATATATCTCTAGCTCCTTCCCTAACCTTCTCGACACATCCAACCGCGATATATCGACTAGTCTCATCTTCATAATGTATATGTTTCATGGTAGTCTGCAGCTATGTTACCCAAACTCTTCACACAGGGGGAGAGTACCCGTGTCGACACGAGTCGACACTGGTACGGGTGTGGCATATGGGTGTGGCATTTTAGTTGTAATTTTAAGTTTTTTTCATAATATTGACGAATCCGACACTGAGATCCCGCACCCACACCCGATACTCGTATCTGCAGAGCTCTCTGTCTGATCAGCTTATTGAAAGGCCATCTATTCAAAAGAGGCTCCGTGAAAATATAGAGACTATCCCACAAGAAATCTTGTATCCAAGGATGAGGGTAGTATAGGTCCTCCTGAATGAATGAATTTCAGAAAGTTATATATGCATGCTTCAAATCCAGATTGGAAGAAACCATTAAAAACAGAATTACAGAAAAAATCAGATGTCGATCCGGTGATACTACCTTTGCGTACAAATGTCGAACTTGTGTCCAATTTATATGTTCACAAGGTTCAGTATACAACTCTTCTCTTAGTTGTAAAATTAGGGGTGTAATTGGGCCGACAAATCTTTTACCTTATACATACGATATTGGCATGTATATCATTCTACAATAGCACCAAATTTTTGCTGCAATCAAGAGGAAGAAAAACAGAACCAAAGACTGAATACAGACATTCGGAGATCCAAATAACTGACAATGAACTATATCATCTAGTGGTTTCAAGTTTCAACAACCTGGATGCACAGGAAGAAAGGAAAGTAGAATCCAGAATTCAGGGGGCATTGGATTGGTTCCGGACCAATCATATAATCCAATAATCTACAACCAAAAAGGGAGCACAAAATATTTAAGATGCATTTCTAGCAAAAAGAAAAGAAAAGGAAAAAAGTTCGAGAATTTACCGACAGCCAAGTCTTTTCCCAAGAGGGTATTGCTGGTGACACTACCATGGTCAAGAATCCATTTCCGAGCTCTGGAACATGAATGATTCTGACCGCCATCGGGTCCTTCGCCGAGAAGACGCATACAGATATAACTCAGGGCTGTGCAGAACATTGTGCTGTGACCTTCAATGTGAATGAAATCCCCATCCACCGTCTTCATTCTGAATTGCATATATATTTGCACATTGAAAATCAAATATGAGTGAAAGTGACCATTCTCTCCCTCATTTGTATCATACTCGGTTTCTTATTTGTACTAGTACCTGATGACAGTAAATGTAGCGGAGAATCTCAATTTTATGCTCTGCTGAGATCACTGTGTTCAGATGCTCTGTTATGTACAAACACATGACCTGCAATTTTGTCCAAATTTGAGACAAACGAAGGAATTGAAATGCTAAGAATTTGATACTTTTTCGCACATTTCTAACCAGGAATTTGAAGAGGGCTCACCAGAGGTGGAAGGAAGGACAAAGGGCCGGCGTTTTCTGGAGGCCAATGGCCGTCACTAGCCTGCAAGGCAGAGAAGAAATGAACTACCCTGCGTAATGTAACAATGACAATTTCATGAGTGATTTCTTGGCCATCTTCAACCTTCACCTGGGCTATTGCCTGCTTGAATTTCTTCTCTCTTAGAAACTGCACCAAAGGCAATAATCATTAACATAATCTAGTTGAAAAGAATTGATGTCCCTAGTTGGAAAAAACTGATTTGATCTTTACAGTCTTTCTTACATGCCTAAGTATCTACCTATACAATTTCCTTAACTAAGTAAACTAGTTAGATTTTGATAATTTCCGTGGTTATTTAGAAAGACATACCAAAGTGGGGGGGAAAACACACAGACACACACTAAGAGAATAGAATCAGATAATCTTGTTGCTCTCAAAAGTGATACTATTTCTTAGTTTACTTTTTTTTACTAATTGAATAAAAATTTAGTGATTAAGATGTTATGTTTATTGAGAATAGATTCGGTTTCAATTCCCACTAAGGAGTTTGAGAATAGACCCGAATTTGTGATTCACCGATTTTTTGGTAAGTTTATTTTCACTAATTGCAAGAACTTTGTTGACAACAGAATGCACATTTGATGAGGAAAGGATATATATGATCATATGATTTTCCCCGGAAATCGATCGTTGTCAAGTTTTTCAGCAATTATTAAGACTTCGCTGTCTAGCTTCCAACTCACAAAGACAAGAATTCCATTATCGGAGAGATCTTCCATCAACGGCTCAAGAATAACTCTTCTTGGATCAACCATGTACTCCTCATCTTCGCATCAAATAGGGCCTATATTATAATATAAGCATGTTTGTTGTAATTTTCTTCACTATTCGTGAAAACTACCAAGGTTTTAAATAGAAAATCTTTGCAAAGTGCATGGCTTTTTTAATTACGTAAGTCTTATGTAATGCTTGTATATTTTCTTTTTTATTTTCATCAATAAGATCGGGGCATAAAAAATTAATAAGCGATTCTATAATTGAGAGCGAATTATTATAAATACAAACTTTAAGTGTAAGTATTTTTTAACGTGTTCTTTTTTCTTTTGGAGATATCAAAAGTTGTATCAAGAACATAAAAAGATGGGTTACAAATGGGGGGAAAAAAATGTACCCAGAGTATTGATATATAACAAGCCAGACAAAGCCATATATAAAAGCAATCATAGATGTTTTTGCAAGGCTTGTCATTTTTACCTAAACAGTCGAATTTTTAACTCTATCATTAATGCTATAGATCTAGGTTACATTATCATATAAGCATTCACAAGTAATAACATATGATGAATTATGGTTCCATTTTCCCGTGTTATAGTTTGTAAAAACAAAACATTGTACTTTGAAAACAGTGTTTTCATCATACGATGGAAAAAAAAAAAAAAAAGAAAAACTTTTGTCCTAGCCAAAAAAAAAAGTACTTAATCAAATTCGTTCAATTTTGCATCTTTTGATATGTATGCTCAGTAACTCACAGAGGGAGAGACATGCCAAAATATAAAGAGCAGGATTACATGAATCTAAAATACGTAAAAAGTGATACCGTATCCAAATCCTCTTTGCCTAAGTTGTCAAGACTTAAGATACTTAGCTAACAATGTCACCACAATCATTTTTATTTTTGTGCTAGTTTCCCGATTTCTTCGGGATAACTCTCCAACACGTCTTCCTATCCTAAGCAAGTATCAATTTATATTCTATAACCTTCTAAAATTAGATTCTCTTGATATTTTATATAATATATATATATATATACATCACTATGTTGTATCATAACATACACTTAATACAATCGGAGTATTTGAGTGGAAGAAATAACAAAACCGTAAAAAATTATGAACCAGGAGAGAAAATTGTTTGAGGTGGTGAAGTAAACTGCATGCATCCACTTAATTAATTTAACGGGACTCCACCCGCTGTAATATATTATGACCGTTTTTTTCATGTTAAGGCTCCAAATTATAAGAGAGCAATCAAAGTTTGAAAATCCTGTGAAAACTGCTCTTGGTAAAATTTCAGCGAATTTGTTTGGCCTTAATCACCAAACTGCATTGTACTTTTAGGGTGCGAGATGGAACGAAAATAAGTCTGGAGGTAAGAAAAAAATCAAAAGAATAAAAAATTTGGAGGATGATAGGTAAGATATAATCGATTCAACCTGCATGCGCTAAAGGAGGTCGCTGTTGGGCTTAACATGGTGGCGGTTGTTCCAGAACCGGAGACGGGCATTTTCGACTTCCTCCAATTCCTCAGGACTTCCAGCATTCGGATCAAATTCCCAGATTTGCCTCCCCACAAAATTGTTGGTGCTATACAAATAAGGGCTATTCTTGTCACCTTCCGTAATCTTCAGTCTCCACGTGATGATGATGATGATGTCTCTTTTCTCTTTTCTTTTCTTTTTTTCCCTCTTTTTTCCCCCTTCACTCTTCCCTATTTGAAGCATCTTACGTAGTACATAATTAGGCAAGATGGTTAGAAAATTAGTACAATTAGGCAGATTCAGTAATTATTAATTGTTTCCTTAATTTTTTTCACACGTTTATTTTAGAGTACTCTAGCTAGCAACAGTTAAATGTTGTCCGTAGTCATACAAGGTATGCCAAACAAGGTTAATATTTCTGTTTGGAAGAAAAAAAAGTATTAAAAAATGTTAAAAGGTATGTTGATATAGAGAATATATTAATTAAAAAATCTGAAAAAAAGAATTTGTAAGTTGTGTATGTGTTGGGAAAAAGAAAATATAGTACGACGCAAGTTGAAACGTTATTGGCAATTTTTAAAATGCACCATAATGCAAATGATCGACAAGTATAAAGTATTAGAGGCAAGAAAATTTATTATTACTCCATGCACAAATTACCCAACCTTGGTGACTGATGGGTGAGTCTTTTATACTCTATCACGGCCCCCTAGTTAATATTCTCTCAGAACCTAATTGTAACGTACATATTAAGAATTAGATGAAATTCGCACCTTATAATTAACACCAGAAATTCAGACGGAATATAACTCACCAGCTTTGGCTAAACAATTAATATATTCCCAACTGGATTATGGTCCATTTAAGAAATGGCCAATAGCATTTCAAATTGTGTCACGTTTTTCTTTACCAAACACATTTACTAGGTTTTTTTTTTTCATAATCTTTAATTAATATATCCTCTATGCCAACGTACTTTTCAATATTCTTAGAGGATAATGATCTGTACATGAAAAAAAATGACAAGAAAAGATTTACAATGAATTGATTATAATCATTCATATTTAACACTTTTCATTTGGGGTTTAAGCATTCAAGTTTAAGACATAATTTAGATAATTGAAAACTCATTCTTATATATTTTCCTTGTAAATTTTCCATGTACGTAATTACTCATTCTTATAATACAACGTTGGGCCATATTTTATAAATGCATGCCAAACAGTAACAGCTGGCCACAGCTCACATTCCAGTAAATAATTAAGATTAACTTCAAACTACAACATATATATTCAGAATCATATGATTAGTTCATCTGCATCCTATAATCGCATTGCATCGTTTATAGCCATTTTTTTTGGCCTCCTTTTTTTTAAAAGCAACTCCAAAATGGATATGGTGGATACATTGTGTCTTGTCATATCATTGATAATTTCAGCGCTATTCGCGTTGGTGTTAAAGCTGGGAACGAAACCAAGTGGTTTTGGTTCAGGAAAGAAAAAGGGTTTGCCAGGGACAACAGGTTGGCCCATCTTAGGAGAAAGCTTGGATTATTACTCCAACTTTCGTAATGGTAAACTTGAAAAATTTGTAACGGATCGAATGGCCAACTGTTCTTCAAACATATTCAGGACATCATTCCTGGGGAATTCCGTAGTAGTGTTTTGTACTTCTGAAGGGAACAAATTCCTGTTCACAAATGAGCAAAAACTGGTTCAGGGCTGGTGGCCAAGCGCTGTGAACAAAATTTTCCACGAGTCGGGTGACAAACCGGTCCAACACCACTCGAAAACGCTTCGAATCTCGCTTCATTCGACGATTTTCAGGGCGGAAATGCTCCGAAAATATGTTGGTAGTGTGGATGAGATAATCAAGAGACATTTCCAATCTCATTGGGACTCGAAAAAAGAAGTCGTTTGTGGTGATTTGGCACGGAAGTTGTTGTTCACAGTGGCCAGCAATATGTTCTACGGAATCGATGATCCAGGGAGAATAGACAGGTTGACAAAAGGGGTGGAGGAGATTGAGGTTGGTATCTTTAGTTTACCGTTGAATTTCCCTGGAACGGCTTTTCGTCGAGCTATTAAATCGTCCAACGCTCTTGTTGACGAGGTGGAAGCAATAGTGAAGCAACGAAGAATTGACATTTCGGGTTCACAAGGATCAGCTGTGAAGTAGGATTTCATGTCATATTTGATCATGGAAAACAATGACGGTGTTGGAGGAGAACCCTACACGGATGAAGATATTGACAGCAATTTGGTAGGTTTAGTTTTGTGCAAGTTCTACGACTATGCTTAGCACAATGACAAACCTCATCAAGTGTCTTTCGGAGTTCCCTGATGTTTGTGACTCTGTTCTTGGATGTGAGCTTTCAATTCATGTCTCAAATTCTCTTGAAACTTGATATTATGTGAAATTAACTTATATCATCTAAAAAAACTAATTGACAATGAATGAGGTGATACAGTTACTTATAAGTATGTCTCAGAATTCACCCACGGGCCCAACAAATTAGCGTTTGAGATTTCAACTTAAAACTCTTAGGATTAAGTTCTTTAAGAAGTATAATCTTACATGTGTTCTGCATTGTTGATGTTTTCAGGGATAGAGCATAAATTAGGGTTTATTTTTTCTCCTGAAATTTTGTTAAAGTATCATTTTGCAAAAGGCTCTGACCAACTTTGGGACATTTCAATTGGGGTAGATACATGCATTAGTACTCCTATTTTATACTTCTTTCGTCCAGAAAATTAGTCAGCATTGTTGTAATTAATTGATTAAGTATATATAGTATCTTTCTTACCTAAATTGTGATTTGCTTGGTTTTTCTTCCACCGTATTACGACGGATGCCCTTTTGCACTTTCCTGGAAACAGAACAAAATGATATTTTAGCGGCAAAGGAGGGACATGAGTTACTTTGTTGGGAAGATCTAAGGAAGATGAAGTACAGTTGGAGCGTAGCGTCGGAAGTTCTCGGAATATGGACACCAACTCGAGGAACTTTTAGGGAGGCCATCACAGACTTCAACTACGAAGGATACACTATCCCTAAAGGTTCAAAGGTAAAATTCTTTTTAACAGTTAACCTTTGTTATTACTGGCAATGATTTACCCATTACTATCTCATGATGATATCTTTTTGGACGTGCAATTTTTGTGTGGCAGATTCACTGGATTTCCTATGCGACGCAAAAAAATCCAAAGTATTTTCCTGAACCTAACAAGTTCGATCCATCAAGATTTCAAGGAGACAACCGTCCAGAGTCCCTATACGTTTGTTCCTTTTGGGGGAGGACCTCGAACGTGTCCTGGAGCTGAGTATGCAAAGATGGTGATACTAGCATTTGTGCACAATGTGGTTACTAAATTTAGATGGGAAAAGAAAATTCCTGAAGAGGGAATCACTCATTACCCATCCCCGATGCCAGCTTACCAACTTCCTCTTCACCTTTACCCTCACAAGTGTTAGGATGTCTCAGGAATAGCAAACGGTCCTAATTATTTATTTTTCCTTGCAATGATAATGAATCGGAGTTAATTATGTAAGCGAGTATACATACATACATATATATATATATAAAGAAATAACATATATTTCCTCATCTCCAATAATGATTGTTCAGTTTAAATTTATATTTTGATGAGTATAATTTGTACAAGTAATATATTCTCTCTGTCCCAAAATTATTGTCCCGTTTGAAATTTCAATTTTAGTACAATTTGAACTAAAAAATGAAATCTAAACTGGACAATTTTAGTATATATTAATTGAGATGTCAAAGTAAAAACCGTGATACTTAAGTTAATTGCACCACTTTTCAACTTTAGACGCAAAGGGGAGAGATTCCATATATATATAGTCGCTAGTAGTGACCTAGTTGAGTTATGTTTAAGATCTTAATTTCTCATTTCAAAAAAAAAGAATAAGAAATCTTAATTTCCACCAAAAGCTATTTTATAGCAACAATTTGGCAACTGCAGTGCGAAACAAATTTTCCATCAAATGGAAAGTAGGGTACGAAGCAAATCAAATGGAATTATGGAATCCAAGGCCCCCCACATTCATGCGCATGCAAACTGGCAACTTCTCTTTAATCATATTGTGAATTACTAGTGGAGATTATTAACAGTATATTTCAGGCTAGATTCAAAGGGGGCAATAACTTGTAATGAAAAGCTTTGTCCAACCGAAAATCTTGCTACAAATTGACAATAGAAATTAAAAACCTGTTCAATCTCAGATGAGACCAGTGCGTGCACCACCAGCTGAAGAGAAACCTTCAACAAGTCCGCGGTCTATAAATTGAGTTAAACGTTGTGCAACCAATTCCACACATTCAGCTTCCATACATATACGTATACATCTCCCTCATCATTTTCCTCCACACTTCTGCATTATTATTAACTAATAAGCAATTTTTTTAAGCTACGATGAAGATATCATCAGGCGGTTACGTCAATGTCGTGTTCATCTTCTTGCAGCTTATTTCTTTAACACAAGTCCTCGCGCAGACGCTTACATATACCTGTAATTATGGCCCATGTTCGGGTATACAGATACCTTGCCCGAAACAATGCCAAGGTGGCGTTACCGACATTGAACCTTCTAAATTTTGCATTGTCGACTGTGAATCTCCAAAATGCGAGGCAGCGTGCATAAGTAAGTCCAGAGTAAAAATTTTGTTACATTATCTTTGAGGGTCTACTTGCTAGAGATGCCAACATTCAAACTCCTTGCATACGTAACATGTACAATATTCGAGCGCCTTCTATTTATTGTTACTCCTTCTGGTCCTTATTATACGATAGTATTTTGATTTGTCTTAAATTTATTTCCTTGTCTTAAGTACTTGTACAACTTTCTATTTTCATGTGATTGTTACACGTGTAGGTTTGGGGCCCGACTGCACCGGAACAGGTTCTGGATGTCATGATCCCCGCTTCATTGGAAAAGATGGCGTTGTTTTCTACTTCCACGGAAAGAGCAACCAACATTTCAGCTTAGTCTCCGATACCAACCTTCAGATCAACGCCAGATTCATCGGCCACCGCCCCGCCGGCCGACCCAGGGATTTCACATGGATTCAGTCCCTGGGAATCCTCTTCGGCTCCCATACCGTCTCCGTTGAGGCCACCAAAGCCGCCGTATGGGACGACCAAATCGACCATCTTAGGTTCTCTGTTGATGGTCAACAAGTCTTCCTCCCTGAAGGATTTCTGAACAAATGGACGTCGCAAGTAAAGAATAATCAAGTACTTAAGCTGGAAAGAAGCGCAAACAAGAACAGTGTGATCATTTCCATCCCCAACATTGTTGAGATTGGAGTCAGGGTAGTGCCCGTAACAGAGGAAGAGAACAGAGTTCACAATTACCAGATTCCTGACGATGACTGCTTTGCTCATCTGGAAGTCCAGTTCAGATTCTTCAACCTTTCCTCTAAAGTGGATGGGGTGATTGGACGTACGTATCGGCCTAATTACGAAACTCCGGCAAAGTTAGGAGACCCAATGCCTGTGTTTGGAGGTGAAGATGAATACAGAACCACATCACTCTTCTCTGCGGATTGTAAGGATTGCTTGTTCAATCCAAACACCAATCTAATTAATAACCCATTGCCTATTGATTACGGAACTCTGAAATGCACCAGTGGGCTGTCCCCTGGGGTTGGAATTGTCTGCAAGAAGTGACCGGATCAATCGCGCCATAATATGGAAATAAAGAGAAGAAGGTTTTCCGTCCTTACACCAAATCTATACAATGGAAGCTTATTCTTCTTCAACTGTTGTACTTTTACTTTGTTTCAGTAATGTTATCATCTGTCTCCTGTAAGAATAAATGGTGAACTTTCATGTTGAATGTGGAATCGAATCCCTATTTATTTATCTATAGTATTATACTAAGAGAGAATCCAAAGAAGAGTTTCTAGAGTGCCACGTAGGAAGAAATCCAATGTGACATTTTCTCAAAATTTAGGAGAAAAAAGTTTCAACATTTAGCAAATAGTCCCTAGAAAATATTAAAATTAATGAAAATAATTTGACCGAGAAAAACTAATCATAATTGTTGGAATATAAATGCGGCTAATTTTTCTTCATTATATGATAATTGGTAAGTATTAAAACAATTTTTAATATTGCAGTTAATGATGATTGATGATAATCGAAAAAACTAATCCTAATTGATTTGATCATGTTTTAATTAATGCTAATTTTTTCAAAAACTACGGTAATGGTAATTCTGTCAAATCAATTCCTGAAAAATCTCAAAAATTTACAAAAAACGTCTAATGAAATCCGGAAAAAAAATCGTAATAAGTCTAAAATCATTATCATGATATCACATCAATTAGAGTCATCCCCTATTAAGTTTATAATCAGGATTTTTCATTTTAAACTGTGATAGGGAAGTTACTCTATAAATACCAACATATGTGATTTGTATCAGTCACAGCCATAAAACCGAAAATCACCATAGTTTATAAACATTTACAACTTTTATTCATGGGATGGGGAACTAGATCGATGATTGCCAGTCGATTGGAGAATGTACGCATCCTGAACGTGTGGATTCCTACTATGTGGATGGCACATCTGTCGAAACTTTGCTCATCAACGAAAAGGTTAACAACAAGCCACTGTGTTACTGTACTCATTCTTTATTTGTTCATGTTCTACTTTCAATTTTATAATCTATGTACATGCATGTTAACAATTGCAGGGCACAAGATCTAACCCATATATAATTTGGAAACCATGATTCTCTGGAAATAACTGTGGATATTAGAAGTTATGAGTTTTTGGGTTTCAAGGCGGCAACCATTTCAAAGTGAAAATGTTTCTAACGCGGGAATCAGTACTTTTTCGACACAAATTGAATATGGATCAATTGAATTGTAAGTTTTCTACATATTCATTCATTGGAATAAATAAAATCATTTGTTTAAAGCTCGTGTGATGTTTTATGTTTTACGTTTTACATGTATTTGTAAATGATGATTTTGAACGTTTGGAAATGATCTTCATGGTTTACGTTTTACATGTATTTGTAGACGATGATTTTAAATTTTTGGAAAAATGCCAAAAAATATGGAAAAACTTATTTGCATATCATATTGATGAAAAAGGCTTCACAACCTGGAAATTGGTACAGATCTTGATATTTGAGTTTATTAATCTTATTAATTATCAAGTAAAATTGGTTGATTATTATGTATATTAATCGTAATATTCATCATCTAAATTTGTTTGATCATATTAATTTTAATATTCATCAAGTAAAGTTGATTGATTATATTTTTAAAGATGAATGCAATTACCACTAAACAATACATGTATATAACTGATTTAATCGTGTTGCATCCAGTTCCAATGTATTAGGGTGTTAAAGTCGTAGGTGAATGCTATTTTCTATGAGGTTGTTTATGGAGACAATTTAGTGACTGCTATTAATCTGGTGATCTGGCCACAAAGATAGACGTTTAATGCAAACAAAGTTCGCGGAACATCATTTGTTTTTATACTTGACTACATCAACATTATCAACCCGGTAGACTAATAAAGTAAATGAATTTTTCGTTAACTAAAGTATGGTAGCTTTGAAGATGTATTTTCATGCGCTTATCCTGATTATGTATTGAGGAAGTACTATTTTGAATTGATTCATTTTTATGGCATATTGATCAATTTAAATATAATTTATTCTCGAATACATATCCATTTGTAAGTATCAAGTATACGTTTTGTGTTTGTATTTGACCGCATGCACCATTTCCCACAAAATTATGGCGAGTTTTGTTTTGTTTTATAAATATTTATTTGGTAAAGAAAATCAATATATCATATTCATAATTAGTGTTAATGAATATCAGTTACGGACTCACGGTTACTTCTATGTAATTATGGGATAATTTCTATAGCAAAACTGAAGGCATCCAACTATTGCATTTTCACCAAAAAAAAAAAAAAAAAGAACAGTTGGCTCTAGAATTTAAACAAAAACTGAAGTCCCTTGATTTTATGTACAATTTGGGTATTACTAGATTTTTTTGGAAAAAAATGAAACAAGAGAAAAAGGGATCAATGAGTTTGGACTGAATATATGCACTGAATTTGGTAATTTAATTTTAGCTTGTCGTCAAACAAATGACTTCTGTTATAAAACTGTTGATGACTGAATATATATATATATATATATATTAAATGGACTAAATATATGTAATTGAACTGACAAATGGAATAACCTCCCAAAAAATGACAAATAGACAATATATCTGATTCATTTCTTCTTCGAATTGTTCTACCATCTCACATTGACGCAACATATGATCAAATTGCTCTTTTACTGATCCACTAAAGTAAGTAAATGATATACACAAGTTATTATATAATAATTTTGAATTTTTGCATTTATAGTGCAGAACCTATGCATATGATTTCTAAAAAGAAACAAAAAATATTACTTTGCAAGTTCACGGTATAAAATTATGACATGTCCATTATTCAAAATTTTAATACTTATGATTTCATAAATTATGATTTATTTTTTAATATATTTTTATCAGTTTCATAAATTATTATTATCTAACATCTAGTGGAATACTACTACTGAAAAAAATGGTTATCTCCATCATATAATAAATAAGAAAGCATATCTGACGTATTTTCTGTTAGTTTCTCTTTTAAACTAGTTGAAATTATATATCAAAGTTTCTCTTTATCTGGCCCTGATTTAACAAAGTCATTATCGAGCTTGTTCTATCTACGCACAGGCGCACAATAGTTAAACATCTTTTTCATGAGTTTCTTCTGAGTCATTAGGGTTCTTCGCTTTCTTTTTTTTGGGGGGATGAAAACGGGGATAAATTTAGCCGCCCTAGTTAGAGTATAATGAGACTGGGATAAGAAACTCCTACAATGTCATGATTTAGCCAACCTATCACAGTTAAAGGAGGAAAATCCAACAGTACCGGATTCATCCCTGCCAAAGATTCTAAATGGTCAATTATAAAATTACATTCTAGATGGACCTGTCTAACAATACAGACCAATCCCTATCTAAAAGATCTCTAATTGCCCTCAATGGACCCTCGTGAATGTTTGGCTCCACTGTCAAAAACCATCTTGTTTCTTCGCTTTGATTATGCCAATTGGTTAGAGTGGGTTTTTCATGCGGAAGGTTATTGCTGGACGGGGTCGCCTTTGGGCTCTAATAATATTGTTAAGGAGTATGTAATATTCATGGGCTCTCTTATACATATAGATAGGCCAAACGGTACAAGGCAGCCGAACAGTCAATAGACTGAATACACTACCAAGCATTTTGTTTGTACTTTGTAGCATATATGGCTTCTCTTTTAACTTAATGATGTCTCACAAGAGAAGTGGAAGGGTCAATGTTTGATTAAAATAATATAGTACAGTAAAACATCTATAAAATAATTGTAAATTCAACTAGAATTGGAGAGTATGAATCGATCTACTAGTTGCAATAACTACTTCATGGCAAGTTGCAATATTGCCACATTTTAACTTTCTGGCTTAATTGGCATATTGGGCATGTGTCACACATGCATTTACCTGATGCCAGCCAATGATGTATCCAATTCCAAAGGTTTATCCAAAACTTTTCCGTGATCCATTTCCCAGAGAACCATACTGTCATTTTTTTTTTAATTTAATCTTTCATGAGCTGGCCCGATTTATTTTTGTGAGTCAAAGTTGGTGTTCTATTAGAGCTGGCCATTTGTTCAGAATCCATATTACATCAGTCAGAAAATCTACTTGGTTCACTAATTAATTCTCAGTTTGCCAATTTTTAAATACATCTTGCAGATCGCCTCCAGAACTAAATCGATTTTGGGGCCATCACACAAAGATACATACAGATGCCCAAAAATTCAGTTTTTAACCACTTCTCAATTTAGAACTTTAGATTAATTGAGATCAAGAACTTTATACACGGGATGCATTATGTACCTATAAAAATAATTCAGATGTTAAACCTCTTAAGAAGAGCAATAATTGTCGGAAGTTGACAAGGATACCGCAGCTTCGGTCGACGTTAAGCATGTGTTCTGTCTTTTTCCATTTAAAGTAAAACCTAAATTGGTAGGGAAATTGCATGAGGTCAGGAGTTTTTGAATTTTGAGGGGAAAAAAAAAGAAGAAGAACAGATCAGAAAACAATTGATGACGGAATTTTTCGACGAAAAATTGCCATATTCCACAGTTGATTGTCGGGAGTCAATGGATCAAAACATTATGATTACTTTTGTTAAAGGGACTATTTAAACAAGATTTAAAAAGAATATGATTAGTGGTGTTGACCACAAAAGGTGAAAAAAAAAAACACACACACACACGCACAAACAAACATGTACAAAACCAAAAGGAATAAACTTATGCCCAGCGCAATCAACCAAAACAAGCTCTCTTGGGCACCCGAATATGCCTTCTGGTTTTCTTGAAGACCTTCTGTTGTAAATTATAGTAATAAAAATTATAATCCAGGATCCAATAGTTACCATTTTCATTGTCACATAAATTTGGATATAGTCGATTACATTGAGGTTTCAGTTCGTTCCATCAATTCAATTGATTAGTCGATGACATTTCGGTGGTTAAACTGAGTTTGGATTAAAATGTACCCCGTCGGCACAATACTAATTACCAAAAAAGGATCAAGATCCCATCTTTTTTTTTCATCTAGGTGAAAAACAGAGAGTTGCATTTTTGCCAAGGTTTGCCACAGTTTACCCCGACCAAAGTTGCCTGAAAATGGAAAGATCTTTGCAGAAACAAACAAAACAAGTCAGCTAATTAGACAGTGTACTCCACTTAACCACTCAATCATTATCAAAATTCTGCACCAAAATCAATCTGATCACTTCCACTGTTAAAAAAAAAAGAAAATAAAAAAAAAATTAAAAGACCATAATCTGATATCAACATCTTCCATCCTATCTGTATTCTCCCAGATAATAGTCAGGTCCAGTCCAGTCCAAAGTTCAGCTAGTTCAGCTAGCCGTCCAGTCCAGCACTGCCACAACGGCGTCGTCTTTATCCATCCTCTTCTGTGAACTGTAATTTATTAATGCTGCTGATTTGCTCAGTGTATATCATTCATTACAGCTGTGCTGTCATTGTCATTAAACACCATTTTTTTTTTCTTTTCTAAAAAACCCTCTCATTTTTTTCTTTAGCTTTTTACAGTCCCTCTTTCTGTTTTCGAACCTCTTCTATTTTGTCCCTTTCTTCCACATCTTCCTCCTCTTGTCTTGACACGTCTCTCTTTTCCAATTTTCAATCTTCACTTCTTCATACTTCAACCCACCAAAAAAAAAAAAAGAAAAAGAAAACCTCTAAAATTTCACTATCAAACAATTTTCTTAATGTTAATTTATTCGAAAAGATCAGGTCCATAAATGATAAAAACTTCAATAAAAATCCCATGCATTTTAAAGTATTTGAGGTAATGTACTATCAAAAAAAAAACCCAACCCACCGCTCTGCCCACATCACTCCCTCTCTCTCTCTCTCTCACCTCTTTTTCATCTCTCTGTTTCTCTCTTCCTTTCCAACCCTGCATTCCACCATCTACCATACAAAATCTCTCCCACTGTCCATTCTTCCCTCCCATTCAAAAAGCTGCAATTTTTTTGGGGGTTTTTTTTCTTCTTTCTTTCTTTCAATCTCTGAAAGAAGAAAACTTGGAGAAAAGATGTATGAGGAATCAGTTGCAAACGCAGTTCCTTCAATCTGGGCATCCATGAACAGCTGGTTCACCCCTGCTGTTCTTTTTGTTCTGCTTAATGTTATGATTGGCACCATTGCGTTTACATCCACATTAGCTAATCAAAAACAGCATCATAACCACCAACAACAGCAGGGCTCTCAAAACGACAATCCACACCAACATCAACATCATCATCATCATCAGCCAAATAGCCTTGCCAGATCGCCCTCTGTTCTTCAGCGCCTCAAGTCTATCAATTTTCAAAATTACAGATTCCCACAGCCCAGCTTCGTTAGTGCTTCCCACTTCAAAACGACTCCAGATTCAGAGACCCATTTCAATTATGAGCAGACCCATCAATCCCCAAGCCTAGAATCCCATTCTCAGTACATCTTCGAACAGCCTAGTCACGAAAAAGAAGCGATTTTTGGGCAGCAAGTTCAAGAAGCTCAGACCCAGTACTATTTTGACCAAATCCAGGTGCCGAAACCTCTAGAAACCGAAACCCATTTCGTTTTTCAACAAACCCATGAAGAAAATGTTCAGGAAAATGGAATTGGTTTCGATTCTGAGCCAGCCCCTGAAGAGTTACCTGTTGAAGAAGATGAGCCCGTTGATGAACTACAGAGCTTGGATGAAGTGTACAGTAAGCTCACCGACCGACATGTTCAAAGGTCTAATTCCGACACAAAGCCGGTCGCCGGTGAGATACCGGCGAGGCTGCCGACAAAGATGAAGAAATCGGCGAGCATGAAATCTGCGTTCAAGCACTTTGAGGCGGAGGACATTGTGGAGGCTCGCCGCCCGGCGACGGTGAAGGAGAGGGCATCGAAAGCGAGCAATGTGGAGGATGAGGAAGGCGTTGATGCCAAGGCTGACGATTTCATCAACAAGTTCAAGCAACAGTTGAAGTTGCAGAGGATTGATTCCATCATGAGGTATAAGGAGATGATTAATAGAGGGAGTGAAAGGTAAGTTAGAGTATAGTCAATGGGGTGGTTCTAGAATTTTCTGATAATATCGGGGGTGGCCAGATGTTTTAGGAAAAATTCGCTGTAAACTGTTAATGCTTTTTAATTGGAATTTCCTTGTAGTGTTTTTCTTTTTTGTTGGGTGGGGGAAGTGGTTCTAAAAAGCTAATGGTAATGGTTGTCTGTCAATGTCGGTGGAGCTTTTTTTGAAATCACATGGTTGTTCGTTCTTCACAGCAGTTAACATGATCTTTTAATGGATGTGCAATTTTTGGTCTACTGGTGGTAGACAACAAATGGTCACTCCCATTAAACACAATCATTTGGGAGTTGGGAGTGTTTCAGCGCAGAAATGGGATCTGGAAAATGAAGCCATTTTGTCCTGTAATGAAAGAAACCGATGGTGGTTGGCTAAGACCTAGAATGCAATTCAGTTCCCATTAATTGAACGGTGGGCTTTGAAGGAATCAGGAATGGAGACGGAGTTGTTGATTTGTAAAGAAGTTTCCTTTGACAAATCCCCCCAAACAAATGAAGCAAATTTGTTAGCACTTGTGGCTATACATTTATCTTTGAACATTCATACAGATCATGAAATATCTCTTTTATTAAGACATTGTTTTAGTCTATTGACTCTGCAAAATTAGATGCCTTTTGTTTTTAGGTTAAAATAACAGTTGAGGAGTGAGAGATTAGGATTAGGTTTAGGTTGATGATGAACTAACTTCATTCACCTAATTTTGCCGATGCCGAATGGATATTTTTGATTCCCTTTTGACTTTTTTTTTTTTTTTTTTTTTGTTGGGGGTACGTGATTATTGATGGTGGGATCAGTTGTTGGGTTTGGGGTTAAAGAATCAAATGCACAAATGTGTATAATGATGATGGGTAGATGCAAATTGAAATGAAATGGTGAGGGAGCCTGAGAGGGAGAGGCGAGATTGGTAGGTGTTTCACTTGCACATGGGGCGAAAATTGGACAAAGGGGGCCATAATAATAATGTGTTTATGCTAACTTCTAGTCTGTGGTGGATTGTGGGCTCTTTTTATCTCGTGATTCCTTTGTTTTTTACCTTTCCTTTCCTTTTTGCAATAGTTTTTTCCTTTTTCCTTTTCTTTGGTAATTACTGCTCTACAAGGTAGGTTGTTTTTCGGTACTCAAAATTTTTTACTATCAGAGTTACATGATCATCATGGCAAAATTAAGTGAATGTTCCTTTTTTAACTTCACCTTCAGATGAATCGGTATGTTGCGCCAAATGATGGCACACAACCAGAAAACGGAAGCTCAAGTAAATTGCGTGATTCGTTTATTTTTTTGCTTCTTTAAGATTCCTTAGTGGTTAACTTCTGCTGTGTTTGTAAAAATCTAGGTCCACCAGCTTATTTGCTTGTTATAGTAAGAAGTTGAAACACGTTAGCTAAAGCAACTGCGCTGAACTAGTAGACATGTTTAAGACACGTTAATCAATGATGTAAATCAAAAAAAACATGTGTAACTTCAAAATCTCTTCACTTTTTCGCAAGATTTTGTACGAGTTCATAGTTCATAGTCTTTGTGTTATTTTTAGTTCTATGATTCTATGTAGCCATAACAATTACGTGGTTTTTAATTATACTCAGAGCAATTTGTACTCTTTCTAGCCAAAAATAAGAATCAAATTAATCGAGTAACATTATGTTATCAATTATAAAATATAAACCCAGATAATGCCTACCTTTTTTGAAGTCGTTAATGGGGACAATGAGCACTTATCTCTTCTTCAAATTTTTATGGACATATATATATATATATATATTTGGAGCCATATATGGTCGAAGGTCACAATCGTGGCGGCCGCGAAAACTCCAAATATTGACCTTTTTCCGGCTTGTCTTCATGCCTAGAACACGTACCAGTTATTTTCAAAGGTCACCCCTTCCATGGTTTATTCACTGCATTTTACAATTAAAATAAATTGCCATAAAAGGATAAACGAATATAAGAATCTAAGGGCAACATCTCACCAACCACTCTGATTCCTCAAATTTTTTTCGAGCGAAGTTAACGACTGTGGAAAGTTTCGTTTTACTTTTATTTTTCTTTTCTTTTTTATTGAGGAAAAAAATGTGAGATCCGTTGTCGGTTTCAATTTCTGTTATTGTTATTCTAAATAATTAAAAACTCATGTTTATTAAATTAAGACGGTTTTGAGTAATTTTTTGAGGCTGTGTGGGTTACTATATACACCTTTAAACTTTTCGTGTGTGTTTTTTTTCTTTTCCGTTTCATTGATTTACTGCATTGAAGATGAAGTTGCATCTGATTTAGTAGTACTTGATCATCATATAGATTACAATGCAAATTTATCTGATGTAATACTTTTTCCCGTTTCATTTTATAGTTCATTTTGTTGAAATATAGATAAGTATTAGAAAAATACAAAATAAAAAAACCAACAAACAACTATGTAAGCAAGATTAACACGAATTCAAGATTCAGAGAACTACATTATAAACATGAAAGACTCTGATTTCATCCGTTTTCTAAAAGGAAGCCTTTTATTTTTATTTTTATACATAGGGTATTTTTTTAAACTTTCCAAAAGTTTATTTGGCTTCAAACTTGTATAATATAAAAATAAGTCAAATGGTTATGCAGAATACTGAAACAGTCGGTCATTACATGTTGAAAGTCAAGCACAACACATGTCGCGTCCTAAATTTTCTTCAATGATCATACTACATCTTTTTCAATGAAACAGGAAAATCAGGTAACAGTCAATTTATCTTTCCATAGTGTCAACATTTTGATCATAATTCCTGATTTTAGAGAGTGCACCTGCAGCTGCTTCAACATCAACATTGTTGACTCTTCAGATTTTATTTATTATTATTATTATTATTATTATTGGTACAACTAAAACGTCCGCATCTCATTAACTCTATTACAGTAATTAGACATGCAGCAGAAGGGGTGGTACATATATTTCATATCTCATGGTTACATTTATGGCGTAGGTTTTGCTTCCTCCCTAACTAATTTACTTACCCATACATGTCTTGGTTCACACTATATCAACAAATGTGGCGCTACATCAACATTAAAAAAAATATGAAAATTGATTTTTCAATGTTTGGAATGATTCTACATCCACTCTGCACAATATGATTCTTATTTTGGGACGAAAGAAATAAAATTTCGTTGTTACCATATATCAGTGTGATATATTTGTAGTTGCAATTCCCTTTGCAAGTTGTGATAGAATATGAGAAACTCAATTTCGAAAAAGGGTTTGTGTCCTGAGCTGAAAGGTTTAATTACAAAAGATTAATCTGAGATGATATTTCTTTTCTTTTCTTTTTTTTTCATATTTGCAGGACATCCACCGTCAGCAACAGTGACTAATCCCCCTTGCTGAATTATAGGCTCCTCGATGGGTGGGACAGCTGACCAAAGTATTCAAGGTTGTTTCATGTCCATAGCGAGGTTTGAACCCTCGACCTATGGTTAAGGGTGGAGGAGTCCCTTCTATTCCACTACAACTGTAAAACCGTATGAAGGAGATGATTTCATTGTATTGAGATTGTACAAGATTAGGTCATATATAGACCAATACAACACAAATAATACAAAAGGAAATTATCGGTAGTATTGTTCTCAATACTCCCCCTCAAGTTGGAGCATGTAAATTAGTAATGCACAACTTGAAAAGAAAATTATGGAACTGATCTCGGCCAAGAGCTTTAGTGAAAAAATCAGCAATATGAGATTGCGAAGAAATCGACCGAGGAAGCAAAAGTTTGGATTGTAAATGTTGGCGAACGAAATGATAATCAATCTCGATGTGCTTTGTCCGTTCATGGAAGACAGGATTAGAAGCAATGTAGAGGGCAGGATGATTGTTGCAGAAGAGAGGAATGGGCTCCAGAAAAGAAACAGATAATTCAGTCATAAGACGACGAAGCCAGACAAGTTCACTAGCAGTAGTGGCCATGGAGCGATATTCAGCCTCAGCAGAGGAGCGAGAGACAACAGATTATTTCTTGGAATGCCAAGAAATAAGTGAAGATCCCAAGAAAATGATGAAACCAATAGTGGGCCCCGCTGAGTGGTAAAGCAATCGGCCCAATCAGTATCACAAGATGCACACAACTGTAATGACTTGCGGGATGAGAAAAGATGCCCTAACTGGGAGCATGTTTCAAATATCGCAAAACATGGAGAGCAACTTCATAATGCGGAAGACGCGGCTAATAAAGAAACTGACTGAGAATATGAATAACATAGCTAATGTATGGACGAGGTGAGATATAAAAGATAACCAACGATACGTCAATAGCATCCAGGATCAGGATAGAGATCACCCGAATCAATGAAAGCTTGTGTAGTTGCTCCATGGGAGTAGAACACAGACGACACCCAAGAAGGCCACATTCAGTAAGAATATCTAAGGTATATTTCCTCTGAGTAAGAACAATGCCAGAAGAAGATCAGGCAACTTCAATACCAAGAAAGTACTTTAAATGGCCAAGTCCTTGATATGAAAATGCCGATGAAGATGTTGCTTGAGCTGAACAATCTGGAGAGAGTCATTACCGGCGACAATGATGTTATTGACATATATGAGAACTGCAACAAAGGAGTTAGAATGACGCCGGATAAATAAAGAGGAGTCAGAAGTAGACTCAGTGAAGCCAATCATGGTAAGGGAGCTATTGAATTTGTAATACAAATTTGGTAAAGCCTGACGAAGACCATAAAGAGACTTGTGTAAACGACACACTCATTGCTCCCCCTTTTTGGCGAAACCTTGAGGAATTTTCATATAAACTTTCTCAGCTACATCACCATGCAAGAAGACATTTGTAACATCCAACTGATGAAGTTTTCATTTGCGAACAGAGGCAACAGCAAGGAGGCAACGGACAGTGACAAGTTTTGCAACAGGAGCGAAAGTCTCATGAAAATAAATTCCTTCAACCTGGGTATACCCTTTTGCAACAAGACGGGCCTTATAGCGTTCAATGATGCCATCAGAATTAAGTTTGACTTTATATACCCATTTAGAGTCAATGGGACGTTCACCAAGCGGTAGAGGTACAAGACTCCAGGTGTTGTTTTCTTCGAGTGCAGAAATCTCCTTGGTCATAGCATCTCACCAATGCTGAGACTTAACTGCTTAAGAAAATGAAGTGGGCTCGTCCAGAGAAGAGATGGCCGCTAAGAGAATAGTATGATTAGGACTAAATCTCGAATAACATAAGTTACGAGAAAGAGGATGTACCGTCAAAAAAGCTGACGAAGAAGGAGAGGATGCTGATGGATTATTTGGGAGCAAAGAGGGCGGAAGGCAAACTTAAAACCCAGTAAGATGTCGAGGAAGCTGGTGAGTCCGGCGAGCGGGGGGATTGGATGGTGCGGAAGAATGTGGCGGTGACA